GCATTACTGTAAGGAAGAGAAACAGATAACAGTCAATAGAACCTGAACACGCGACAGCATGAGAACAGCAAGGTACATGTAGTGAATGCAGAACTTGAATTTCGCGACGATTCGCATGATGTGAGGTAGTAGTCGAGGTAATAGTGATGGAAGGTGTAGAGGTTGCTGTAGTGGGGGAATTTCATCATCGCCAGTGGCAGTTCCACAGGTTGAGAAAAATGGGCGGGGCAATCGGAGGTTTGGAGGGGTCTAGATCCGTGATCTAATGCCTGAGCCACTGCTTGCTATCTTATCAGCTTCAGCATGATCTGCACAAATTTGGTGGAGGAAAGAGGTCAAACTGTGGCTTATGTGGCTCGCTCTGCCAGTTTTCTGCCTAGGTCTGGCTAGCCCTAGGCACGTCTGGTGACACAAACCCTCTCGCTTCCACCACGGGCCCCACCGACTCCCAATCAAGCCTAGCAAGCAACAGTTGCCAGCGGGCACACTCCGGGTTGTGTGGTTGTGCGCTGGCTGACAATTTTCAATTGTGAGTGGCATTTCCCAATCCTCCGCCCAGCCGCCCACCCGACCACTGACAACACCACCACAACATCACGGCTTTACTAACGACCACAGCGAGGATTCACACAGGTAGCTCTTGCAGGAAGCACATATCGGTTGTGCCTCTTTTGAGCTGATCTTCTCCTCCCGATTTCATTCCCTTCTTTTCCTTTCTGTCCACCTCCCGTCCCGCGGTGACATTCCGGAAAGATGTCGTCCTTCGAGTCTGTTGTGAGTAGATCCCGAAGCCCTGCCATTGCTGTCACCACCACCAGTTCGACCGTGTACACGTCTACACTTTTATGCGACCATGCATACCCTTCGCGATCAAATGCATCTCGTGCGAGGCATTCGAGTGTTTGTCGATCTGCATTAGAGCAGCATCGGAGTCGCGCAACATCGAAACCCACATTGAATCTCGAATCTGGAATATCATCACTAACCCAGCTCCCTTCTTTCAGGTCGTCATCGATGGCAAGGGTCACCTCCTTGGCCGTCTGGCCTCCATCGTCGCCAAGCAGCTCCTCAACGGCCAGAAGATTGTCGTCGTCCGCTGCGAGGACCTCAACATCTCGGGCGAGTTCTTCCGCGCTAAGCGTACGCCTCCCACCTCTCGCATCTCTCTTTCAGCCCGATCTCTCCTTTCGCTCTCCTTCCAACCGGCAACGATACCGACTCTACCCGACTCGAATTTCTCTTGCCGGTGGAAAGTGAATGGGAAAGAGCTTGGGATGATGACAGCACCCGACCCCGGGACTTGTGAGAATGAAGACTGATTTTGGGAATTGTAGTCAAGTACCACGCCTACCTGCGCAAGCAGACCCGTTTCAACCCTACCCGCGGTGGTAAGTCCAACGATACCCCGACATGCGCAGACTTTGGATGGATTGCGCACGAACTCCCGAGGACCAGAGAGATCTGACTCTTCACTTCGCAGGTCCCTTCCACTTCCGTGCTCCCGGAAGAATCTTCTACAAGACTGTCCGTGGCATGATTCCCCACAAGACCGCCCGTGGCGCCGCCGCTCTTGAGCGCCTCAAGGTCTTCGAGGGTGTCCCTCCCCCTTACGACAAGCAGAAGAAGATGGTCGTCCCCCAGGCCCTCCGTGTCCTCAGACTGCAACCTGGCCGCAAATACTGCACCGTCGGCCGTCTCAGCCACGAAGTTGGCTGGAAATACCAGAGCGTTGTCGAGCGGTATGTCATTTACAATCCCACACTTGTCAACAGCCATCTTGGAGACTGTGGCACTCACTCCCTGCTTGCGAACGGATTTCCATGATTTATTTACTGACTACCGTAACAGCCTGGAAGAGCGCCGCAAGGCCAAGGGTGCCGCTTACTACGAGCGCAAGAAGCTGGCCGCCCGCCAACTGTCCGAGGCCAAGAAGAACGCCAAGGTGGACTCCAAGACGGCCAAGACCCTCGAGTCTTTTGGCTACTAATTTTGTCTTGTCTGCTTTTTACGTCCACACTCTTCCTCCGATACACCAACAATCAACAAATCCAACAATCAATGAATCAATCGATCCGTAACATGAACTTGCAACTAGATCCGGCGCGTGGGTAAGGGAAACAACTCGATCATCGCATTTGCCTTTGTGTCGTTCCACGCAACTTTTCGAGGGAAAGGCAAGGGGGGTCATTGGGATGGGGTTAACGTTTAGTACTGGCTCCGGTCCCGTGTTCAGGCAATTCGTCGTCTAGGTACCGAATGAAAAATGAACCAAATCATGAACACAAAAACACGAGAATCAGGGTCTTTTGGTAGATGGCTTTGGCACGTGATTGTGTGATGGCGTGGCTATTGACTACTAACCCAGCCAGGGAGTCAGTTTGCGAACCGTGAGGCGAAGGGCACGTCCCACCCGAGTTACGACTTTTTACGGCCCGTACACGACACGCGGTCCGCACGACGAATACGATGGTACGACTTGGCGTGATGCATAAGATCTCGAAGAAAGTATCGTTCATTAGTGAAGAGTTGCTAAGCTGGTCGACAATGCGTTGTAGCCTAGTTCGGGATACCGTGGCACAATGACAACCAGGGGATTGGAGATGCAACGCGAGATCTGAGGGCGAGCAAGCCCACCTCGATTGGAGGTGGGCTTGCAACAAGGCCAGTCACTGTACTCGGCCTAGGAAAATGCTGACTTCACCATCACTCTGGTACGTAGAACACCGTGAAGGAGGACAATGGGATGGGATCTGGAAATCCATGTGTCAAGTTACGTACATGTAGTGACTACGGCATTGGTACCTTGTGGAGGAGTTGCGAAGTTATGGACTCTTATCACTACCGTCTCCGTCACCTACTGTTTACCGAGTGGCCATACTCTGTCTTGTTGGTCAGCATTGATACTTGGTGATTCGAAGACAATTTGTCAATATGAGAGTCGTTCGCACTGCCATGTAGGACACGGCCTGCACCAAACGTCATGCCCCCGACCGGGCACTATTCTCTTGCCTATCGAACTATCGCATATCTCAAAAGGCTGCCTTCATGTTGGTCTTGGCAAGACTTTGTTGACATGTGACGTTTCAAGTTTGGGCCACATTTGAAAGATGAACGAGGTGATTGCATGGAGGCATTTGAGGACAGCGCAAAGTCGTCTCCTTTTCCCAATGTAAGGTAAACCTCAGAATGTAAATAATAGGCATCAGAAATCGGCATTATTGAGTAGACTTCTCCATATACTGCAAGCCTGGCGTCACGATGCTCGACGGTTAAACAACTCCGCCTGGTGCCAATATATGCGACCCACCTGGGCTTGTCATTGAGGATATCATATCCCCATCCACGAACGCTACAGACAGTGCTGATTCTGAAGACTTACACACACCGAAGCCTGCCTACCTCTTTGAAGTCATACATCGTAGCTTGAGATCCTACCTCCTTTACCCCCCCTGCATTTCACACGAACTTGGGAACGCATAGGACAGATATCAAGCCTTGACTTACACGTCTTATGGCCCATAGATCCTCTCACTCACCACTCACTTACACCCCCAACTCACCAGCTCTCATCTTGTACAGCTAGCTACCTACAGAAGAAAACAACATGTCAACATCCGCAGCAATCCCCGAATTCCCAGTATTCCCCATGCTCGCGGGGAAAGCCGCGCTGATCACAGGCGGAGCGCAAGGCATCGGAAAGGCAACAGCATCGACGTTCCTGCGGGCCGGGGCAAAGGTAGTAATCTGCGACATCGACGCCTCCCTCGGTCCACGCACCGCGGAGGAACTGTCCCCGCTGGGCGAGATCCACTTCAAGGCCTGCGACATCTCATCCTCGTCCTCCGTGCAAGAAGCCGTGTCCTTCGCGGTGGGCAAATTCGGCCGTCTAGACGTGGCGGTGAACAACGCAGCGCTGGGGACGGATAGGACAGCCCTCGCGGAGATGGACGAGGAGTACTGGGCGAGAGTCATGGATGTTAATGTTACTGGGACGGCGTTGTGTATGAAGTATGAGATGCGGCAGATGAAGCGCCAGGGTGGCGGGAGTATCGTGGTGGTGGGGAGTGTTAATAGTTTTATTCCTGTGGCTGAGATGCCGGCTTATACTACTAGTAAACATGCGCTCCTCGGCTTGGCGAGACATGCGGCGATGGAGGGCGGGGAGTTTGGGGTTAGGGTTAATGTTGTTGCGCCGGGGGGGATTGCTGTGAGTTTTTGGTCTTTTTTTTCTTTTCTTCTTCTTTTTTTTTTTTTGTCGCGGCCGTCTTTGGTGGGATGGGGTTTAGTTGAAGGGTTGATGCAGGTGGTTGGTGGAAGGGATTGATGTGATTGAGCTTCAGCTAACAGCGATGATAGACAGATTTTGCGATGGAGGCCCTCAAGAACATGAATACGACGGAAGAGGAGTTCGGCAAGAGGACTACATTCACGGGCAGATTCGGACGAGATCACGAGGTTGCGCAGGGCTCGCTTTGGCTGGCGTCGGAGGCGTCGTCGTATGTTACGGGCATTGTGCTCCCGATTGATGGCGGTTATTTGATCAAGAAGTAGGGGAGCGTGTGGGAATAAAGATTGATGCCGAGGATTGGGGGTTGAGGGTGCGGTGTAGGTGAGGCTGAGTGTAATGATAGATGGGTCGCATCCTCGGTGTTTAGTGTCTGATGCACGCATTCGTCAATGGTGCGAGAAGGGCGCGACCAAATGCAAATGATACGTTATTATCGAAGCATGAGCAGACGAAAGAGCGCGGGAATCTCGAAGCTGAGTGCTTGCTCCTAATAGGCGACTGAGCGGGACGATGCGCATCTTAGCGATATACGGGCGCGCGACGTTATTTCATATCTGTTGCAAAGCCGCAAGCGACACGGGGTCAAATAGATCATCAGGCCAAAACCAAAAGGAAGCTTCAAATAGGTTGAAGCAGTCCATCGGCCGAAACAAAAAGACTGGAGGTGATGAAAATGAAGAACTCAGAAACAACGTGACCAAGAGCAAAAAAACGACACCTAAGAGATTCGAACTCTTGCTCCCGAAGGAATTGCCTGACTTTTTAGAATTTAGTAGCAGGGCAACGCGTTAACCACTCCGCCAAAGTGCCTAAGCGAACCAGTAGTGGCTCTGTTTGGTGAACGCTCAAAGAGGTATCTTGATCTATGTACAGCCAAGCTCTACGGCGCATGTGCGTCGCATTACACAACAGATAAGTCTACACTCTGCCAAAGCACTGTTCAACGGCTAAACTCGCCTGCTTCTTCGTTTTGTCCCATTTCATGTCAGAATCAGCCCTTAGTACCCTATACTGGGTGATATCTGATGTCCATATGCGGAGAGCTTAACGCATCGAGCTCTCGTTAGCGTGTCTCGTGAGGTGCAATCTCCTACGGACACTTTGCCACCAGGAGAACAAGTAACGCTCTCTCAGAACTTTGTTCAATGTTGACGCCGAGATAACAGCATGCAATGTTGTTTACTATCATGGATGCATCTGCTCACCCTCGGAGATCGCCCATGATGAGGTGGTTACCGACCGCAGCAATGCCAACCAGCTCCGAACTCTACAAGGGTCCCGACAGTAGACGCTCTATCTCATGTCCGAATATTTGATCAGCTGTCCTTCACATTCATTCGGCTAGCAACAAAATGATGCTTCTAACCACATCAGCACGGTAGTACATTAGTTACTCATATTTTAGGCTGGATTACAGTCTGAAGGCAACACGGCATTAAATCAACAAGTACGTCAAAATTGGTATTAGCGAAGTATCGACCGCGTTCCCAATCTTGACTACATCCATTGTTGTTCATACGTCCCGTTTGCATAGAAATATCGCGTAAGAACAAAACCAACTTCCGAGGAAACAGTATCTATTCCCAGCTTCTGTTGTGAGCCGAGTCTTAATTATATGACTCTTACGAGACAGCTTTAGGCTCAGTAATCTACGTCACGTCCTATAGTACCATAGAGTTGGAGTTATCTGTTCATTGACTCCTATTTGATCATCCAACATCATCATTCGTGACAAACTACTTATTATCTATTTCAACCGAGAAGCGCCAGCGAGCCTGGCAGAGGTATCCGAGATTCATGAACAAATGAAATGAGCGGTAATGCTTGTAAACTTCGTCCGTCAGCATGCTCAACCTCAAAAGAAAACCGAGTTGTAGATGGAAATCAGATAGTAACTTACTCAGTGTGATAAAGAAATTTCATGCGGCGTTATTAATCTGATAGTACTCTTCCGCTCACTTGTTGCCTTTCCCCGTCCCATTACTCCCCGCCGTGCTTTGCTCGTCCGCTCCCTCCTCGCTCCCAACATCGGCATACTCTCGCGCGATCTTCTCATCCAGTTTCTTCCGCTGCTCCTCGGCTCTCTGGCGATTTTTCGCATCGCTCTTGCGTCGCCATTGTTCCCGCCGCTCCCCAACGAGGTATGGCGTAGCGCGAAGGACCGAAAACAAGCCTTTGAATCCCGCACCAAAATGTGAAAAGCCTTCCTTGAAATGCGTTTTGGTTTCGTTGAGTGTTGTTCGCGCGATAGTGGCGTTCTTGCGTGTGCGGTAGGCTGTTTCGGCGCGTTGCGCTCGCATGTACTGGTCTGAGGCTTGGCGACGAGTCTCGACGAGGAGGTTGATTGTTCCTGTTGACTTGGTACGCGCATGCTTCTCTGCTGTGTCCTTGGTTTGCTTGGCCATCTTGTCTTCACCTGACTTTGTGCGGTTGAAGAGGGCGGACATGGATTAAGTATATGGTATGTTGAGACGTGTGAAGATTAGTGATTAGGTAGTATGTACTGTGGTATCAATAAGAGGAATCGGAGAATGAGAATCAACACTCTTGAGTATGCGGTACTAGCTACTATTATACACATCTTCTGATAGAATCATCGCGTCTGAGTCATAGACCCCTAAATATGATGTTCATGCAAATTTTCATGCAAAGTGTGGTTGACTTGAGTCTCGGACCTTGGGAGAGAACACTTCCTAACGCTTTCCATTTCCCGGCTTCATGCTGACTGGGGATGATGGGCACAAACAACATCGTATTTGGAAATGGTCCAAGCGTTTTGACAGTGTGGAGTGTCGTGTCGCGTTTCTCTTCGATGTTGACCGCATGAAACATCATTTCACGATGTCATGCAACGGCCCACACGAGGACAGGGCCAGCTCTACGCCCCAACGCCCAACACCGTCAATCTTAAGCATTGTGTGTTATAGAGTGGAATTTCTGTTTCCAAACCACCTCTAGTTCTTTCAGCGAAAATTGTGTCTTTTGTCGCAGCGACCCGCCTATACTTGGAGCTTCGTCATTGAAGGTTAACCCTCAAGATAAGGTGGCTTTTTTTATTCCGCCACTCGGGTTCGATCACCCTGGGCTTGGAATGCGTCGAGTATACATGTAGTGCAGACAGAATCCATGCCTTGGCAAATATTAAATGACCCAAATGGCTTATAATATGTAGTATATCCTGCTTGCAATGAGTTGCTCACCAGTTACTTCAGCGAGTAAGAGATGTCATCATCAAGAACCTCTCCAAACAGCTACCAACAGGGCGTTAAATGAGCCTGGAGGTTGAATGATGCTTTCAACATCGAATCGCTTATCTCCAAGCCTGAACAGTTCAACCCAGTCTTCTACTTCTCTTTCTTTCGAATTCTGGATCGAGGTCATCACGAGGTCGAAGCCTCTGAGACGATAGTTCATTGCGTTGGGGATCTGGTTGGCTGGCGGCATGACTGTATCGCTGATGATGATCTTAGAACCTGGCTTGAGAGCAGGTATGAGGCTTCGTAGAATCTTGATGCAGTATTTGTCCGACCAGTTGTGGAAGATCCATCGGAAGAAGTAAATATCGGCGCCAACCACGGGCTGCGGGATAAAAAAATCATGGACTTGAAACTTGACCTCTCCTGCAACATCGGAAGGGGCACTTATTTTCGCGGCGGCAATGACTGTCTCAAGGTCTTGGACGATGAACGAGATTGAGGGGTTTTTGCGAGCAAGAGCAATTGATACCGAACCTCGAGAGCCACCAACCTGTTGAAGAAACATGTATTTAGTCTTGCGCGCAGAGATACACCGCAGTCACAGTATGTGGTGTAATGCCTTACATCTACAACTGTTCCACCGGAGTGCTTCTCCCAGGGATAGTAGTCGGTGACGTACTTCAGATCGAACGCTTTCCCTTTCGTAAAGCCCTCCATCATGTTGGCGAAGCGAGTTGAACGCTTGGGAAACTGAGCGAGAAAGTCATATAGCGGCTTATCGGTGTTATTGGCCAACGAAAAGCCCTGGCGAACATACAAGTCAGCATAATTGATGGGAGAGATGCAACAGTCTCTTCGGGCTCTCAAGCAACTGAGCTTCATTTTTCCGTTGGGTGTTCTCTAGTCTACTTGCCGTTTCTGATGGCTCTTCAGAGCCAGGGAATTTTACCATGGCGTTGCATGTCTGAGAAGCGGCCTGCCAAAGCTCGTCTGTGCATGTTGCAACGTAGTCATGGAGTTCAGCATCTTCAGCTAGCAGCTGCGATGCGGCGTTGTGTCTGACGACACCTGGGCTTGCTTCCTCGAAGATCTTCATTGCAATTGCGAATCGCACAATCTTCTTTGTGCTGCTTTCAGTCAAGCCTGATCCCTCTGCCATTCTCGAGAATGTCATTTCATCACCAACTGGCAAGGTACGCGCTAGTCCGAAGCGTGTCACAGCTTGTAGCGGTAGCAAGGTGTTAGGCTGGGTGAATATAATTAGATATATTCACAGAGACTTAGGGCGCAGTTCAGAAAGACAGACAATTGCAAGGTCAGTCAAGTAGTCCCGGGGACCCAGCATAAGCCGGCGCAGCTCAGCCGTATCGTCAATAATGGACCGGCGGAGCATCTGCATCTCGGGAACATCTGGCACTGCACCATACAGTGGAGCGTCAATACTAAAAGATGGAAATGGGATCCCATTGGATGATAAATATTCGCAAATCCTGGCTGTGCTGGTTGAAATTCGGGTGCTAAGTTCGGAGATTCGTGGAATGGACATGGTGATCGAACACATTAAAGACAACTGCTGCAATTGTGATGGCGGCAATCGGTATCAGCGTCAGAAGAGTTTCGAGAGGTACAAGTAATGCTTCGACACGATTTTGTGTCAGATTACATTTGTCTCGCCTCTATCCATGTCTAACAACTTGTTGCTTGCCGGCTGCAGATGATAAGCAGCAAGGGGGGACACTGCATGGCGCTACAATGGAAGAACCTCCGTCGACAACTAACAATCCTAGATTGAATGCGCTTGAGCCAAGCGAACAAACCGGTTACGGCACAATGCTCTCTATGGAGAGGCCTACCAAAGCGAAGGCAGTCATTGCAGGTGTCGTCACCTATCTGAATCATCGGAATCTATAAGCCCTGATTGCCGCAGCGTTACGGGATACTGTTGTCTGGTGAAATCCTAATCTTGCTCCAACGATTCTCTCACACATATCGGTGATGACTGGTCGTGGAAGCTTCAGAACATGCTGTAGACGTTCACTCAGAAAGGGCGATAAGTGATGAGAGTCCAACTAACTTGGATGCCGCAATATCTGGAGAATGATGCAGAGGTATATATACATCGGGAACCTTTGTATCATGCTCTGTGGACCATGGCGAACTCTCCCAGTTGAGTCCGACCTAGTCCGTCACTTCATAACGTTCTCAACACCGTGCTGCCAGGGCGATATCGGGTGCTATAAATTAGAATCATCTCACCCGGAAGGCGTGGCGCAACAGCGGCCGGATACTCTGTCATTGTAAGATGATTGAGGAGGTAGTGTGGCGCATCTCATGGTCAGACAGACCCAGCCGTCGCGCAGTCGCGAATGACTCTTGAATCCATCTCGTCATTAACCAGATACTTGTCCAAGAAGCACCGCCTCGGGGATGAGGTTGGCTATAAGCAATGCAAACTCCAGCTGCGACATTGAGAGAGAGAGAGAGACACACACACATGCAGAGATCTTTGTGAACATGACGTCACTTAATCGGAGGACACGGGCATGTTCTGCCTCTACCTCCAATTCTTATGACTTGCATCTGCCTTCATACGAAATAATGGCATTTATGCAT